CCTAACCTGACCCTGAAATAATAAAAACAAAATAATTTAGCTGAAAAGCTAAAAATTAATGGTCATATACAAATTTGAATGGAGGGGGGGGTGGCACAAATCGTTCTTTAGGACAGACCCTGATTATTCTTTAAACAAATTTTGAGCACTCGCATCCACTTTTGTCGAAAGTAACTCGATGAAGATCGGTGAAGAAAACACCAGGATCACCATTCAACTGTTCATTTTTGGCGGGAGATTATCTGGTTCTCTTGCAGCAACATAAAAAATATTGATGATGTATTTTCATAATTTAAATTGGATTCTTGAAAGTATTTTGAATCACTCATAAAACACATTAATGAACATAACATTTATTAGAAGTTTTTTAAAAATACCGGATAATAGTCGACTTATAAATGCTTAAAGTTTAGTTTGTTGCAAACAGATCAAAATAAAAATGTCGTCATTATTGAGCAATATAATCACGAAACCTCTTCTTTTACCCTTTTACTAGGAAATTAATAATGCTATGAACTTATGTACAATATCAGTGGCGTACACGAGGGGGGGCCGCGCCCCCAGCCCCCCTTTACGCGTGCCCCCCCCCTGAGAGGCTGAGAGGGAGCATCCATGGGGGAGGCTCTTTTAATATTGCATCTGCTTTCATTTCCCTTCATCAGGCCAGGCACAGTGGCGTACTTAGGGGGGCAGTAGGATGCACCGGGCAGTAGTCCTCATGCCCCACCCTGGAAGTTTCAGGGGGAGGCCCTGCTCCCCTGGAAAATACAAAATTAAAAGGAAACTACGTTTTAAAAGTTACACCTGACAATGACAAAGACTATGGATTTGTCTAAATTCACTGTTAAAACAAGGAGAGAAAAGTTTTAAAGAGAATACTTCTGCATTACACAAGATGTACTATGACGGAGAGCAGACTTAACGATCTTGAACTTATAGCCTCACACCCTACAAGGCTGTCTGAGCTCTCTACTGAGAAAATCATTGGAATGTTTGTGCAAGCAAATCCCAGAAAATTGAAGATGAAAAGAGTTGGCGAATATGTAGATTGAGTAAATTATATCTAAAAATTTCAGGAGAAATTTCGTTCATTACGGAAAATACAATTTTTAATGATGCTTTAATTATTGATTTAGTTAGCTGTGATGGAGTTAAGTGATAAATTTTTAAAGTTAAAAGGTTAGTTTTTTAAGCAAAGGAATACTTTTTAGACTCTTGTAAACCATATCCGCCATTATTATTTTCCATCGCTTCTCTATGAACTATAGTCTTATTTCATGTAATCGGGTTTCCCATTTATGTTTAAAGAGTTAGTACCTCAGTACCTCTACTGCATTGTTAAATGCAGTTCAATTAAAACCCTCGTTTTGCGTCAATCATTTTACGGCAGCTTTTTAATTTAATAAAACATTTTACACAAAATAAATTAAAATTAAACACATATTAAAAATTTAACAATTTATTCGTTATGAAAATACTCGCCAGTATAGTTTTTTTTACAATATTTACATAGATTTATTACATTAAACTACAATCATTTGTTTGTTTTTTTTAAACTTAACATATTTTACAAAATTGACATTTAAAAAATACTATTTTTTAGATAACGAATTTATAGTTTATCTATAATTTTCAAAGGTTCTATCCTGAAGAATTTTCCCAAATTAAAATGCTGCAACAAAACTGAAATTTCTTAAAATTCGTATTCCTCCTTAGTCCTTATTTTAAAGCAAAAGTACTTGAAAAATAAATGATTTATCATTTGACGATATTTTCCTGCTTTTACTTTATTTTCAACGTATTAGGATTATTTGAGAAAAATCATAAATGTTCAAAAAGTGTGATGGTTTTTTCAGACTTGATATTTGAAAATACCTCAGCGTAAAACGCAAGTTTGAAAAATGGGCGTAATTTAAAATATATTTTCTAAAAAAAGACTTATCTTTTAAATGAAGGAAAAATCCAATCAAAAATGTTATATTTTTTATTTTTTCATAATTCGTCATGTCATGATAACATTAAAGAGACTGTACGCGTAACTTCAAGTGAACCTCTTTACCTCTTTGCAAAAATAGCAATAACAAATAATGATTTCAGCATCCAGGAAGAAGGGACGGAGCGCCATAATTGTCTTAATTTTGATTTGGATAGTTCTACAGTGAAACCTATAAAACTGTTAAATAGAACGACGGTTGTTTTTACAATTGGACCTATAAAACTGTTAAATATGAAGACGACATTTAAGCAATCTGTTGTGTATTTGTTGTTAAACAGCAAAATAATTTGACCGTCAACTTGAAAATGAACTTATTAAAAGTTGGGAAGTGTGTACAGTGCACACGGCACAATTTCTATGCTTCATGTTCGTGGGCTTATTTTAAATCAAATTTGAGTCTAAGGGTCGTCTTCCTATTCCATAGTTTAATGGCACTCACTGTAGGATGGTTATTATTATTTTTTGTCAAAACAGAATTATTTGAAAATACCGTCATTATGCTGAACAAGTCACTAATAAAGAAAAAATGGTTTCACCGGACTTATTAAAATTAATCAGTGGCCGAATTTAAAGAATTTGAGCGGCGGTTTAAATTTAAGCCGTTGCTCAAATATGGTTGGTTCCACTTAAAATTGTATGAAATGTTTCTAGATTTAAGCCGGCGCTTAATTTAAACCGGGTTTTGGCGGATTTAAACCGCGGCTCAAATTCTTTAAATTCCATCTCAGGTATCTATAATTTATCCAAAATCTAATAATTTAAATTAAATATTCCCTCTAATTCCTCTGATCGGCATGGACAAAAAAGAAAGTAAAAAAAACATTTGAAAATTCTGAGAAAAAGTTACCACAGTCAGCTTATCATAGAAAACTGCATGATATCGTTAAGTAATAAGTCTGCAAGTTCTTAAGTGAAAGTTTAAATTTTATCACAAAAAAAATTATTTTTTCTTTCATAATTCATAGTTAAAAAATAAATTAATTTGATTTTAAATGGGTTTAGAATAGCTATAAAAAGAGTTTAACTTTGACCTTTAAACCAGGGATAACTTGGATATTTTAGAATAACTGTAAAATGGATTATAAACAAAAAAGAATAAATTACAGTGAAAACTGTAGAATAAAAGACGACATTACAGCAATACTTAAGTGCATTTGATGTTTTTTAAAAGCTAATAGTTTTACTTTTACCTATTTTATCAGTTAAACGTAAAATGGGACTGTTTACACTGCACAGTTGTTGTTTCTCATGTTCATTGGACTGTCTAAAGTCATAATTTGAGTCTAAAAGTCGTCTTCTTACTCCAGAGTTTTCTGGTCCTCACTGTATTTTTAACATTTTCAAGAGAAAGTCTTGATCATAAAAAAAAGTTGGTTTAAAGTTATACTATGAAGACTAGTTTTGTTACTACAGATAAAACTTTTTTAGGACTAGTCTTGTAGACATGAAACTATACAGACTCTAGTGTATAGACTTAAGCCTATAAAACCCTGTATTAACTTTATAGTAGTCCTATGTGTCACTATAGAATACTACATTTTATTACAACAAAGTACACAGTACACTGTTTATGTAGATTGTAGATGCACCCTTGTACAAAAACTATTCCGGTACAAAGATGCAGTACAATGAAGATACACCATAGGAAACTATAAATAGTGGTGATAATGATATTTACAAATTTGTCCTACAATCAAACCAGGTCTCAATACCTAGTTTCAAAGTTTAATAATTTCTAAATTTTCAAGCTCTGGTTTAAGAATAGTTAGACTTTGATCAGGTCACTGTACATAATGTACATACAGTGCATTTACCTAGGACGGATCCTGTTGAGCCAGAATACTCTGTCTCATTGAAGAGACATCTTTGGTATTGTTGTTACTGTGACTATTCTTATTTAGCTCGGTTAGAATTACTTCCGGATTAAACCTCTCCGTGTCTGAAGCAAACCTCTCACTCTCTGTACTGAACCTCTCACCGACTCCGCTGAACCTCTCCCTCTCCGCACTGAACCTATCTCCGTCTTCACTAAACCTTCCGATGCTTCCTCGGAACTTCTCTGTATCTTCCTTAAACCTCCCGGAATCAAGGTTTAGCGAAGTTTCTTGGGAACGTTTCCTAGAGGAAATGAGATTTTGCCACAAATCCTAATTTTCTAATCCTTTTATCTTCGCAAGCCGATATCAAAGGTTTACATAATCAGGTTGCAAAGATATAAGGATTAGAAAATTTGAGTTTGTGGCAAAAACGCATTTTCTTTATTTTATTGATAATTTTGTTTTTGAAAGCTTACAATGAAAGATCAGAATATAATGACGATCTCTAAATATGACACAAAAGGTTAGATTTGGTCAGTTGCTAATTATAAAGGCTTTTCATGAGTTTATTGACTTGGCCAAGAGGAAAACTGCATATAAACTGCTGCAGCCTGCAGGTAACCATATATTTCGGACAGTTAAAATTATATTTAAAACTCATATATTTCAAGAAACAGGACGCATGGTAGTAATCATTTAGGAAAATTTAAATATGAAAATTATTTGAACGTCAACATTTTTAAAAATCATGACAATGAAAACTAACCTGAATTCGTCCTGAGAGAGCGCTGATATTCTCTGAGATAGTTCTCCGACATCACTCTTAAACCCGTCCTCTCCTTGATCACCCCTCTGCTCATCTATACCCTTGATCTGACTGCTCTCATCTATCCTCCCGTCCTGTCCTATCCATCCTTCTCTTGAACTCAACCGTTCGTCCTGTCCACTTAACATTTTCTCGTCCATAGCCCCATCTCGTCCTGTCCGGGAGGACGCTTGTATTCCGTCCTTGCTTCGGTCCTTGTCCCTACTTAAGGACATGGTCTCGTCCTCCTCTGCGTCCTCGTAGGACGGATCTGATATCTCCTGTTTGATAAACCCGGACATTAATCTACCCTCTTCAAACTGATGATACATCTAAACAGTTACAGATAACTAATAAAAATACAATCAATAAAAGAATTTTTTATAATCAGGTTTTTAATAGATTTTATTTCAACTTTCATTAAAACCATTTACAATAGATCTTTAAAATTTAACTACAGTATTAAAAAGGGATTTCAAAAACTTTCTAAAAAAACATCTAACTGGTATAAAAATCTTACTATAAAGATTGCATTTTATATATTTCATATTTAAAATCAGAAAAACGGAAATACAATAACAAAAAACTCCGTGTTTTATAACTTTAATAGAAGTAGTCAGGAACTAAGAAGCTTAACTATACCTTTCTAGAAGCAGTCAGGAACTGAGAAGCTGAACTATACCTATCTAGAAGCAGCCAGGACCCAGGAGCTGAAAAGCTGAATTATACCCTTTTAAGCGCAGCCAGGAGCAAAGAAGCTTAACTATACCTTAATAGAAGCAGTCAGGAGCTTAGTAGCTTAACTATATCTTACTAAAAGTAGTCTGCAGGAGCTAAGAAGCTTAACTATATCTTACCAGAAGTAACCAGAAGCTGAGAAGGTAAACTATACCTTACTAGAAGCAGCCGGGAACTGAGAAGCTAAACTATACCTATCTAGAAGCAGCCAGGGCCCAGGAGCTGAGAAGCTGAACTATATCCTTTTAAGAGCAGTCAGGAGCAAAGAAGCTTAACTATACCTTAATAGAAGCAGTCAGGAGCTAAGAAGCTTAACTATATCTTACCAGAAGTAACCAGAAGCTGAGAAGGTAAACTATACCTTACTAGAAGCAGCCGGGAACTGAGAAGCTAAACTATACCTATCTAGAAGCAGCCAGGGCCCAGGAGCTGAGAAGCTGAACTATATCCTTTTAAAAGCAGTCAGGAGCTTAGTAGCTTAACTTCAACTTAGTAAAAGTAGTCTGCAGGAGCTAAGAAGTTAAACTATACCTTAATAGAAGCAGTCAGGAGCTTAGTAGCTATACCTTACTAGTAGCTAGTAGCTATACCTTACTAGAAGAACCCAGAATCTGATAAGCTAAACTGTACCTTACTAGAAGCAGCCAGGAGCTGAGAAGCCAACGGATTGTTGTAAAAGTTCTTCATTTGCAGTTCAAAAACTGCCTGGGCGGATTTAGATTCTGATGCTAGGCTGGGTTGGGTTGGAGGCGGCGTCTCAGAGTTCAGGACGGGGGGTGGAGTCTACAAAAATAATATTTTGTAATTTCCACGAATTACATAGTTTTGGGTTAGGTAGCGAAGTCTTCAAAATATAGAGTTTAGTAAAAGTAGCGAAGTCTACAAAATATAGAGTTTATGAAAAGTAGCGAAGTCCACAAAATATAGAGTTTAGTAAAAGTAGCGAAGTGTACCAAAGTTTAGTAAAAGTAGGGAAGTTAAAAATATAGAGTTTAGTTAAAGTACTTAATACATGTATCAAATATTAAGATTTATAAGTGGTGAAAATAATATGGTAGTTGTGTGTAGTATACAATAACAACTAGAAAGAATAAACAAATCATTTATAAAACAAATTGAAAAAGAATAAATTTTAATTAAAAACTGATATTACTTTGTTTATTTTTAACCTTTGAAGTGTTTTGAATTAATAATTATTATTGCAAGAAATAAAGTAACCTGAATGCAAATTAAACAATTTCGCATCAAAAACATTCTCACAAAACAATTCCAGGTTAATTTTATTCCTTTTATTTGTTTGTTCTGCAGAGTGCACAGTGTACACATACTTTAATACAAACTGTATTCTGCACCCGTAATAATTCATTAAGTTTATTTAATTTGACTAATTTTTAATTTGATTAATTTAAAATTAAATTAATTTTTGATTTAATTATTTTAACACGAAAACGTAAGAATATTATACTTTTATCCTAATTTTGTTTAAAACTTGAAATTTGATTATAATTAAATATAACAATATTTAATGGTTGTGTAAGGTAAAGTTGAAAATTATATTTTCTCGACAATTTTGTAAATTTAATTGTTATCTCAAAATGAAATGTCAAATAAAAATATATTAAATTGTTCAATTTCTTTTCAACAGAACTTGTTCATCATAATGCACAATTTTTTTTTGTGAAAATGGACAATAATGTATTTCTGCGGAATCTATCTATTTGGCCATGGTTTGTTTGTATCTAAGAAACGTCGAAATGGCTGAACCGATTGGGCCCAAACTTTTTGAGCAACTTACAGAAAAATCCACGATGTTTTTGAGAATGAAGAGCAATAGTTTAAAGTTTAAAATGTTATTAGAAAAATTAGTTGGAGCACATGAACTCATCAATCATGCTAAATCATCGATAGTTTTTTAATATATTTGCTATTATAATGCACTTAATAGAAAAAAAAATTTGTTTTACATAAAAAAACTATATTATTCAACAAAATGAAATTTAAAATTGTAGCATGATATTCAAAATCTTAAAGATTTTTAATGTATTTGCAATTTGCATGCACTTAACAGACGAACAGATTTTTGTTTTACATACAAAACGCTAAAAAGTTGTAGCATGATCTTTAAAATCACAATTGAATGCTGCTGCGTCTCACCTCTGACATGGCTCCGTCACGGAAGACTACTGCTCTGATAACATGACGGACATGATCCTAAAATTATCATCAATTTATATATTTCTAAAGGTACATGTTTGCTGCTCATGGTATCACAAAGTCTCTCATGGGGTTGAGAAACTTAGTTTTTATGAGCATTCATTATGAACAACAATACATGGTTACCTATAAAGGATGAGACTGCGAAGACGACCTGAAACTTAAAAAATATGTTGATTTCAGGGTTAAAAATTAAGTATTCTTTCATAAATAAAGTCGTTCAATGGCTTATTCATTGATTTTCCAAAGAACAAAAACAAGTTAACAATGAGAGGGAATTATTAATTTAAGGAAACAGACAGTAAATATTCCTAACAGTCGTCTCTGAAGTCTCATCCTTATCCTTATTCCTTACAGTGATTAAACCAATATGAGTTATATAATTAAATAGTATTGCCCTTTAGCTCTGACTAAATTTTATTTAACAAATTATCACCTCCGGCCACTGTCCAAGCAGAATTCTTTGAGGCCGTCCTCGCCCCTTTGGTCGTAGATCTAAACATTTTTGTTTCAATTTGAAAATTAAAAAATTCTTTATTTAATATTCACTCCTATAAAACATTTATGAAGGATGAATAACATAACCACAAACACATTTTTAACAGTTTTTGTTTCCTAATAGATTTATTCTAGGTTTTTTGTTCTTTTTCTTTCTTTTCCAAGTTGCGTTTCTATTTGTCTTTCTATTTGCCTCTCTAGATGTTTTTTCTAGTTCTCTTTCTATTTGCCTTTCTAGATGTTTTTCTAGTTCTCTTTCTATTTGCCTTTCTAGATGTTTTTTCTAGTTTTCTTTCTATTTGCCTTTCTAGATGTTTTTCTAATTTTCTTTCTATTTGCCTTTCTAGATGTTTTCTAGTTTTCTTTTTTTGTCTTTCTAGATGCTTTTCTAGTTTTCTTTCTATTTGTCTTGCTTGATGCTTTTCTATTTGTCTTTTCATTTGTCTTTCTAGTTGCCTTTCTAAATGCTTTTCTAGTTGTCTTTCTATTTGTCTTTCTATTCGTCTTTCTTTTTGCCTTTCTATTTGTCTTTTTTATTTGTCTTTCTATTTGTCTTTCTAGATGTTTTCTAGTTTTCTTTCTATTTGTCTTTCTTGGTGCTTTCTTTTTGTCTTTCTATTTGTCTTTCTAGTTTTCTTCTATATGCTTTTCTAGTTGTAGTTGTATTTCAAGTTGTCTGTCTAGTTGTCTGTTTAGCTATCTGTCCTGTTCTCTGATTAGTTGTCTTTCTAGTTGTCTGTCTAATAGTCTGTCTTTTTGTCTTTTTAGCTGTTTGTCTTGTTATCTGTCTAGTTATCAGTATAGTTGTCTGTAAAGTAATCTGTCTAGTTTTCTGTCCAGTTATCTGTCTATAATCCGTCTGCCAAATTGTCTGTCTATAAAATGATGTTGTATCGTAATGCTGTGAAGAATCATGAATAAATGTTCTGACTCTAGCTATAAAACTAATCAAACAGAGCACCGACACAATACACTTTTATGCATGGACGGACTTCAAACAATTCAATAAATTGGAAGAATGTTGGGGAGGTCAGGTTCAGAGGTGGAGGTTAGAGGCGTAGTAAGAGGTGGAGGTTAGAGGCGTAGTTAGAGGTGGAGGTATCCAGGCGTAGTTAGAGGTGGAGGTTAGAGGCGTAGTTAGAGGTGGAGGTTAGAGGCGGAGTTAAAGGTGGAGGTTAGAGGCGTAGAATTAGAGGTGGAGGTAAGAGGTGTAGTTAGAGGTTGAGGTTATAGGCTTAGTTAGAGGTGGAGGTTAGAGGCGTAGTTAGATGGTAGGTGGGATAAAGGGAGTTTGAGAGGAGGGGGTGATAAGGAAGGGAGGGGAAGGGGCAGTCATATTTTTATGTTACTTTGACTCTTTAAATTTGTTTTATTTGCAATTCTCACTCAATAAATATAATTTAATGGATTTTTATTTCTTTTAAACATTGTAAAACTACTAATTCTTTAATTGTAAAGAAAGTAGGCAAAAATATTTATAAATATTTCAACCATAAATTTTTATGAAAATGAAAACATAATAAATTCAAATATTTTTAAATTTATCATATTTTCCGTTCTAAGAATCTAATATTTCTGAACAAACTCAAACTTTACCCTCCCATAAGTTTTTAACATATTGTTATTCTTATCAAATAAATTACAAAATTTTTTATGAAAGTAATTCAGGAAAAGTAAATATCTTCAATGGAAAACGTATTATATTTAGTTATTACATGTTTTATGAGAAGAAAATTATGACTATAAGGGGAGGGGGGTTGAATGAGGGGTCCAATCTAGTCTGTACCCTCCGACCCGTCCTATAGGAAACGGCCTCTGGGTTTTCTGATTTAAGTGTTTTCTGATCTTACACTTGCTAAAATCTCATTATAGGTTATTGAAATATTAGCATTATAGAAATATTAGCATGGTTAAACAAAGTTCGGATTAAATGTATTGTGAGGTCATTCAAAAGTAGTCTTTGCCACAAACTCCGCTTTTTTAATCCCTATATCTATGCAACCCAATTTCGTAGGTATTAAATATTTCAAACTATGACGCCCTTATGTTAGATCAAATAATCTAAGATTTGGATATCAAATATTTACACCACCAGGTTGCAAAGATATAGGGATTAGAAAACTTGAGTTTGTGGCAAAGACTCAATTCTTTTGTAATATCGCTTTTTGAGTTCAAACTACTTAATATCTTTATAATTAATTCGGATACCCATGACAGTGTCTATAGCATCCTACAATATATTGTTGTTTCTACATTAAGGGAATAATGGGATAGGGGACAGGAGAATCAGGGTCTAAAGACTCGTTTGTAATCGGATTTTCAAGATTGAGACCATTTTTGAAATCTACGTACAATTTCCGATTCAATGACAAAATAACAATTTTACATACTTCTAAAGTTTCCAACTGGACTGAGTAAATTTGGTAAAAATAACGATAATCTCCGTTTGCACAATTTTGTTTAAGGGTTTACATACTTATTTACAGAATAGAGTTGTAAGCGAAGGTCAATTAGAGGACATGATTGTTCAGTACGGTTCCTTGACCAGAATCCATGTGATATTTACCTGTCAGGGTTTACAAAATCAAAGGTTTTTTATCTCAAAGCCTCATTCCCTTTACAAACTTGAGATCAACATCAGGAGATATATATCTACCCTAGACCCTGCCACCGCGGACTAACCAGAGTGAGCAGCATTCGGTTTCTTTTATTTACAAATTAAACGTCTTTTGGTTTTTAATTCAACAATCTTTTACCTTACGGATTTGGTTAGTTTATACTTTTTCCTTCAAAATGCATATGCCGACAAAAAAGTATTTTAGAAAAAAGTCTAAAAAATTGTGTTTAATGGGTCAAATTGTTATCGAAAGTCACAGTTTTCTGGAATGTTGACAAAACCGTTAAATCCACGTGCTGCTTTCTCCCGAAAAGTTATTTTTGAAATTAGATCAAGGGCCCAAATGTATCTTGCCATGCTAATGGTGGACGTTTTAAATATGATTATACTAAACTGTAAACTAAATTTTAATAAACTGTAACCTAACATTCAATACAAAATTGTGCAACGAAGATTTTCTTTTACTTTTTACCCGGTCCAATTGAAAAATGCAGGAGCCTTTAAAGTTGTTATTTTTAGATCTACAAGCCTACGATTGGGCTCATTAAATCGGAAATTGTACATAGAATTTAAAAATGGTCTCAATCTCGATCACAAACGAGTCTGTAGACCCTTCTTCCCCGTTTTTTGTTAAGACACCCTGTATATAAACGTTACCTCCTCCTGAAAGACTGTTAAGAACTGAAGGTCCAAGCATGTTGTGTACTCTGTTAGCGTAGAGAACGAAGGTAGGATAAGGTATATCATGTTTTCGAGCCGCCTAAATACAAAGTTTGTATTATATCACATAAAGTTTACAATTTAAATATAATTACTCCGTTTATTTAACGGACCATATTGCTTCAGCCATTGTTTCAGGTCTCCAGGATTTCATTGGTCCGCGTTCTCTATATCTCAACCCCTAGATTCATTAATTCATTAAACAGAATGGAGAACTAAGTTCATTACCCTCCATTTGTAGAGTGGTGCATCCAATTCACAACGGTACCCTTTTAATTTTGATCAGGTAAAGAATGAATGAGATTTCCTTGTTGGTCTTGGTAAAAAATTGGTTATGTTTAAGTTTTATTTCTCTGGAAAAGTGACGATATATTCCTCACTTTTAAGTAGATAAAGGGTTAAAGGATATTCCACACCAATGGTTTGTCATTGCATATCCTATAAAGAACCTAGTTCTAATCTCTACTATTAAGTATACATAGAGAACAGAATAGTTATAATCTCTGCTATAAAGTATATACCCAGAGAATTGAATCAAATCTCAACTTTTAAGTAAACCTGGAGAACTGAATAGTCCTAATCTCTACTATTAAGTATACATAGAGAACTGAATAGTCCTAATCTCTCTATAAAGTATACATAGAGAACTGAATAGTCCTAATCTCTACTATTAAGTATACATAAAGAACTGAATAGTCCTAATCTCTACTATTAAGTATACATAAAGAACTGAAGAGTTCTAATCTCTACTATAAAGTATGCCTAGAGAACTGAATAGTTCTAATCTCTACTATAAAGTATACATGGAAAACTGAAGAGTTCTAATCTCTACTATTAAGAATGCCTAGAGAACTGAATAGTTTTAATCTCTTCTATAAAGTATACCTAGAGAACTGAATAGTTCTAATTTCTACTATAAAGTATACCTAGAGAACTGAAGAGTTCTAATCTCTACTATAAAGTATACCGGGAGAACTGAAGAGTTCTAATCTCTACTATAAAGTATGCCTAAAGAACTGAATAGTTTTGATCTCTACTATAAAGTATACCTAGAGAACTGAATAGTTCTAATCTCTACTATAAAGTATGTCTAGAGAACTGAATAGTTCTAATCTCTACTATAAAGTATACATGGAAAACTGAAGAGTTCTAATCTCTACTATTAAGTATGCCTAGAGAACTAGTTCTAATCTCTACTATAAAGTATACCGGGAGAACTGAAGAGTTCTAATCTCTACTATAAAGTTTACCTGGAGAAATGAAGAGTTCTAATCTCTACTATAAACTGGAGAACTGAAGAGATCTAATCTCTACTGTAAAGTATACCTGGAGAACTGAAGAGTTCTAATCTCTACTATAAAGTATACCTGGAAAACTGATGAGTTCTGATTCCAGCACTTTTGCCACATATTCTGTAGTTGTGTTTGATAGTTCATCGAGCACCCTGAAATTTTCATTTTAAAGGAACTGTGGCATCATTTCAAGTAAACCTCTATTTAAAGATTCTGATTCACAATGGTGCCTTTAAATCTCTATCTATCTTAGTTACAATGATGGTTATATCTAAATATTTACTTCGAAAAACGTAATGAATTCTGTTAATTGTTTTTCCTTTTATATATGAATCATAAATGTGTAGGTTAAGTCACAAATAATAATAATAAATTTTCAATAATAATTCAATCATCCTTGACAGACAAAAGTTTAAAGGGTACCGGTCTAAATCGGACATGCCGCCACTCTGTAAATAGAGAATCGCTTGAAGTTCCCTTTAAATAAGTAATTTGATTAAACTAGAATTCTAACCTAAAGTTTAATTTTAATTTCTAAATTGTGGGATATGTATGAATTAGTAATGAACCGAGCTTGTTATTAAAATTACATTAGATTATACAATTAAACAAATTCTCGTTTATAAACTTTACTAAATACAACAATTCGTGTAAACGGTTTTACAGCTCTTCAACTTGGCGGCAATATTTAAACCAAGATAAGAATTAACACAGTTTATCTTTAAAACTATTATTTTTTTTAAAGTTATTTTTTTCCATATTCACTCCTGTATGCCGAGTCCATTAGCGCCTGATCCAATCAGGGTTCAGTCATGTGTTTGTTGTCTATTCTGAACCAATAGAAATAGTATGGCGGTTTAAATAAATATAGTATTCTGAAACCTTTAATACATTTTACGTGTTTTTATACAAGCATTAAGTTACATTAACTGTTTATTGTTAATAATTAAACAGTTTAATGCAAGTTTTTTTGGATAATTATTAATGGTGTTGATTAAAGTTTTGAACATAAAAATGTTATGAACAAAAACACACATAATTTTCATTTTTATGACAGCAAAATTTTCTGGCATATTTAATACGTATTAATTAGGTTAGATTTTAGTAAAAGATGTGGGACAATCGGCAGGTTTGTACAGAAACATGTTCAAGGAAAAGGAAAAACGAAATTCAACATTTTTTAAATGGACAAATTTTTGCAAATACAAAATGTCAAGAAATTGAAAGTTTTTATTTGAAGTGCAAGATTGCAACTACTACAGCCAAGAAGATCAAAACTTAAAATAATGCATGATTCATCTATTCTCCGGTCATTCGGTTACTTTAAATCAGTTTCACATTTTTGTTACTAATTTACTTTGACTTTAAAAAGAAAACTTTATACACTTCCAGGCAAAGCTGGGTTTCCAAGATAATATTTATTTATGAATATTTGGTACACTTAATGATAAATTATAGTGCAGAAATTTTTCTCTTATTAATGTAGAGAAAAATTACACAGAGTGCAAATACATTTTTCCTAGATAAATTATCTAGGACATTTTTACTTTATGTATTGGGCTGTACTATATCTGATCTTTAGGAGTCTTCAATTATTAGGTCTGGTTCCTCTAGAACGATTTAGGGAGTCTTTATACGTCATAAAACAATAGGTCAGTTTCCTTTACATAGGTTGATTAATTGCTTACCTGGAGAAGTAGACGTAGAAGACGACATCCAACCATGGGACAATTCGACCATCTTAGCCTTAAATTGATAGATTTATTAATAAAATTGTTCTGATATTTAAAGAATAAAGATAATAATGTAATGATAAAACATACGATAATAATAATGATGTTATAACCATTAACGGAAAGAAATAGTTTTGGTTTATTAACAATGTATATCAAAACAAGACTACGGGGGGAGATTGATTTAGACGTATATTTTCATTCATTTTTCACCCCTATATCAATATTTATGTTATTACCTTCTGTTCTTCTTTGATCATTTCAAGTATATCTGGACGGATATCGGACATATCTTGTGGAGAAACTCCACGTGTAATTGGCAAACCGGTTTCTCGAAAACCAGCTGACTCCCGGCAAACTGGTTTGGATTCTCTAGTGTGGATTAGTGGCGCTAAACTGTCAGTAGAACCGGTTAGTCTGCGCTTCTTGCAGGGCAATGCTGCTAGGGTGAGGTCCTGGGCCGTGGGGGTACTCATCCAACCTTGACTAAATACAAATAAAATAAATATGTGAAAAAAATATAATAGCATTTAAGAAAAAAAATGCATTTAAGAGCACTTGTATGGAATAAAAAAACTCTTATTCCAATTGACAGATACAGACTGTTCTCTTTTGGACTTGAAAGGATTAAAATGTTTTATTTTATCAATTTATGAGATACACAAGAATTTTTTAAAAAGAAAATTATCTTGAAAGAATCAACCACCAATATTTAGCAGAGCTCTGTTAAAAAAACAAAATAAGGTAATAAAAAAACTTTTTAATATACCATAATTGCAACAGTCCAACTTAGACAATTTCTATTGCAAAATTATTAAGTTTGCTGCATATTTTTAACAGTGTTTAACTGAAACCCTGAGATATTTGTAGAAGTAGAATTGATGAGCTACTGCGAGGTAATACGAGACGGAATAGAGATGGTTTTCTCACAGGCACAGGGGCTTGACATGTACATATAAACAAAACAAAAATTTCATTGCACTTCGCGACCCACTTTATAATCGGAAATATTTAATATTTCTTTTCATTAGTTTATAAAAGTCGCATTTTTCAATCTTGGTGGAGNGCGCCGCACTCATATATGCTTCCATCCCGTACTTGATTCACAAACATATCGCAGCGCGCTTACCCGAATCTATCTTCCTGTCCGCACCCATATGTCTTACAGCTAAATGTTTTTACTTTCAAATGCTTATTATTGAATAATCAAACTTAAAGAAAAAATAAAAAGCACATCTTCTAGTCCTTAGTTTTAATCTATTTTAGATTTACTTTGTCCGTTTTGACGTTTTTTTTTTTTACAAATTCTGTGTTTGTTTGTGAAACAAATCAATTTAAATACAATCATGAACAAAATTGATGTTTTTATAACAATAAAGTTTAAATATTTCATTTTTTAATATTTCACGTATTCCCAAATAGTCGTGATTTTAACTATCTGCAATAAGGAGAATTCAAGTAAAGAATTCAAGAATTTTTATATGTTTTCATATCTTTTTTTCGGAGAACATTTTTTTATTTTGGATTTGAATTAACCTGGAAAAACTGTGTTTTTTTCTTATAAACTTAAAAATAATTGAATTATTGTCAAAATAATGATGATAGGTTATTTTCTGAAAATTAACAATATTTCAGATAATAAACTGTAAACTCTATATGAATATATATAAACCTGATTTGTTGTTCGCTAGTCTTCAATGATATTTTTGTCTCATGTTTCTGTTGTTCCAGTTTAACCAGTCCTCGAACCTGTAGTGCCTCTGCAGCCTTCATTACACCGTCAACATCACTCCTGGAATTATTTATTGTACAGGGTTACCCACAATGGTCGAGACTGTAAAAACGACCCAAAACTATGAAGATTTGAAGCTTGATTTTTGGTTTCTGCTTTATTTTGGGTATTTTGATGGTTTACTTAATGATTTAGCATTGATTAGAAATTATATAATCAACATCACTCTTGTAATTATATAATCAGCATCACTCTTGTAATTATATAATCAGTATCACTCCTGTAATTATATAATCAGTATCACTCTTGTAATTATATAATCAGTATCAATTCTGTAATTATATAATCAGTATCACTCCTGTAATTATATAATCAGTATCACTCCTGTAATTATATAATCAGTATACTCCTGTAATTATATAATCAGTATCACTCCTGTAATTATATAATCAGTATCACTCCTGTAATTATATAATCAGTATCACTCCTGTAATTATATAGTCAACATCACTCATGAAATTATATAATCAACATCACTTCTGTAATTATATAATCAGCATCACTTCTGTAATTATATAATCAATATCACTCCTGTAATTATATAATCAACATCACTCCTGTAATTATATAATCATCATCACTTCTGTAATTATATAATCAGCATCACTTCTGTAATTATATAATCAACAGCACTTCTGTAATTGTATAATCAACATCACTCCTGTAATTATATAATCAACATCACTCCTGTAATTTTATTATCAACATAACTCCTTTAATTATATAATCAGCATCAATTCTGTAATTATGTAACCAACATCACTCCTGTAATTATATAATCAACATCACTCCTGTAATTGTATATTCAACATCACTTCTGTAATTATATAATCAACATAACTCTTGTAATCATAAAATTGATATCGCCCCTGTCCTGTAATCATGTGATTAACATTAACATTTTCCGTTTACATTTACAAATAATATATTATTAATCGTTTTTAATAGTTTTAAGAAAAAAAATTAATAAAACTTCGAAAATTTTAAAACTGTATTATGTTAAACTTTGATTTATTGAACTCAGTAATATCTTTGACATTAAAAAAATAAAATCTCCAGAAACGATCCGAAAAACTATCGTTACGACACGCTCGTTTTTGCATCGTTTTTGGGTCGTTTTTTGCATAAACCTTCTACTAGGGCTAAAATTTGACATTATGTAAGAAAAATAATATTTAGAAAACACAATTTTAATACATTTGTTTTTGCATATAACTTCTACTAGGTCTAAAATTTGACATAGTGTAAGAAAAATAATATTTAGAAAACACAATTTAAATACATTTGTTGTACTTACACGATGCTAAATTTTGACTCTGAAAGAAAATATAAACAAAAAACGACCAAAAAACCAACAACTCGAAGGACATCACTAAATTATTTGTGCTCAACAGTTTTTATTAAAAATTTTTACTTAGACGAAAAATGGATGACAAAAATTGTGTTGGTTCGGTTTTGCTCAAAAATCTTATGTAAGAGTTAACATTTTAAATATTGCATTAAAAATAATCTTATGCAACTTTTATAATTTGAAACTGTAAAATTTGTTTGAAGTTTCAAAAAATCATATTCATGTACATAGTGCATTATATCATTACATGTATTGTACTGTAAATACCTGAGTACTTTAACTTCTCCCCTGTACATGTACTCTACAACAGCCTTTAACCAACTGTACTCAACATCACGTAGTATCACCACAGGATGCTGAAAAAAGTATATTTATAATTTTTTTGTTATAATAAGTAATTAGACTAGTACTTTTGTAAATTATTGAACTATCGTTTAATAATTTTTTTTTACTCCGCATATTTTTCTAATTTTAAGCAAACAAAGCAAAATACGAGTATTTAGCAACAATTGTGGATATTTATCTGTATTAGCTCACACTGAAAACTCCGGTTCATTTCAAGTACCGGACTGA